GTCTTCACAAAGACTACTTGTTTAAGATGAGGAGAGACAGTTATTTAATCTAACTAATAGAAACACACACAGAAAGTTAAACAAAATGGAGAGACAGAAAAGTATGCCTCAAATGAGAGAACAAGAAAAATCCCTGGAGAAAAACTTCATGAAAATGAAATAAGTAATTGCCTGATAAAGAATTCAAAGAATCAGTCATAAGAATGCTCAACAACTTGAGAATAGAATAGAGGAACTCAGAGAGCACTTCAACAAAGAGATGGAAATATAATAAAAAAACCAGAGATAAAGAATACAGTAACTAAAATAAAGGATGCATGAGAAGGAATTGACACTAGATTTAGCTATACAGAAGAACAGATTAGTGACCTGGAAGAATAGTGAAATCAACCAATCACAATAGCAGAAAAAAAAAAAAAAAAAAGAGGATAGTATAAGAGATCTCTGGGATAACATTAAAAAACCTAACATTTGCTTTATAGGGATTCCAAAAGAAGAGAGAGAAAGGGACAGAAATATTATTTTAAGAAATAATTACTGAAAATACTTCTAATGGGGAAGAAAACAGACATCCAGATCCAGGAAGCAAAGAGAGATCTAATAAGATGAATCCAATGTGTCTCACACCAAGACATATTGTAATTAAACTGGCAAAAATTAAAGATAAAGAGACAATCTAGAAGGCAGCAAGAATGAAACAACAAGCCACATACAAGGGAAACCCCATAAGGCTATCAGCTGATTTCTCAGAAGCAACTTTATAGGCCATAATGGGGTGGTAGAAAATATTTATGCTACAACCTTTATCTATTATCTAGCGAAGTTATCATTCAGAATTGAAGAAGAGACAGAATTTCTCAGACAAGCAAGAAATGTTAAAGTGTCTTTTTTATGCAGAAATGAAAGGGCCATAACCAGAAATAAGAAAATATAGGAAAGAAAATATCTTACTGGTAAAGGCAAATATGCAGTAAACATTATGACTCAACCACTTAAAAAGCTAATATGAAGATTAAGAGAGAAAAGTAGCAGAATTAGCTATAACTGTAATTAATAATCAAGTGATACATGAAACAAAAAGATATAAAACATGATATCAAAAACAAAGAGTGGAGAGGAAGTAAAATGTAGTGCGTTAAGGATTTTATTGAATTTAAATGCCTGTTAGCTAAAAATAAACTGCTATAGAAAGAGATGGATATATAAGAAACTCAATGTAAACATAAACCAAAACATACAAATATGTACAAAAAATATAGAGAAAGAAACTGAATCAAAACACTAAAAACTAAAAACCAAAAGAGATCAAGAGGAGAAAAGAACAAAGAACAAAACAATAAAAAAATAATGACTAAAATGGCAATAAACATGCTTATCAATAATTACTTTAAATGTAAAAAGATTAAATATTCTAATCAAAAGACATAGGGTGGCAGAATAGATAAACAAGACTCATCCAAATGCTCCTACAAGAGACTCACACTGGGGCAAAAGACACGCACAGACTGAAAGTGAAGCAATAGAAAAAGATAGAAACAAAAAGGAAGTTGGGGTAGCCAATACTCATAACAGATAAAATAGATTTTAAAACAGAGATTGTAAGACTTCCGGTCAAGAGAGTGGCATAGGTAAACATGATATCACCTCCTCCCACAACCACATCAAAATGACAAACTACAGAACAAGCATCCTTCAAAACCACCTGAAATCAAGTTGACTGAAGTCCTACAACTACGAAATTAAAGAAGAAACCACATGGAGACTGGTAGGAGGGCAGAGGTGCAGATGGGTTGGTCCCACACCCACGTGTGGCGGATAAAAATCAGGGGGATACCTTGGCTGGGAAGGTCCTCCCTGAGGAGTGAGGGGTCCCTGTCCCACACCAGGCACCCAGCTCAAGGTTCCAGTGCCAGGAAGAGAGTCCCCATCACTTCTGGCTGGAAAACCAGCGGGAACTGAGGCTCAGGGAGGCTGAGGCTTCTGGAGTACCTGGCAGCTCCTCTTAAAGGGCCCGCGCACGGACTTATCAGACCAGCTTCCTCTGAGCTCCAGCACAGAGGGGAGGCAGATTGAAAGGTACCAGAGACATAGGGGGAAGAACCAAGTTGTTTGCCTTTGGGGTGAGGACTGGAGAGAGAGCTTTCTCCCAGACAGACATGCCAGTGGAGGCCATTGTTCCCTTGGTGAGCCCTTCCCCCACAGGGCAGGCAGATGGCCACCATATCTGGGCCTCCAGCAACCTGACTCACACTGTTTGCCCCACCCTAGTGATTCCCTGAGGCCCTGCCCTACCCAACTTTCAGGCCCACCAAGCTTTTCCCAGTGACTTTACCGTAGGATTGGCCTGTCTTGGTTCCTGTTTCAGATTTTCCTAAATGCTTTCAACAAGCAGCATCTGGTGTCAGCGAGCCTCATACCTCTGTTAATTGGCCCAAGCCTGGCACTAGAAGCAACCAGCCTTGGTTTACAAGTTGACTGTGCCTGGGTACCTCCAAGCCTAGCACAAGAAGCAGCCATCCACAGACAGCTTCGTAGCTTATGCCTGGTGGCCCCAGAGAGAACACAGGCAGTGACTGACCTTGACCCAGAGCCAGCACACCCAGTGAACAGCTTCAGAACACTGTGAAGCACCACCACCCAACCATCTCCACAAGTGACTCACTTAAGGAATGGACTCAGTGGGTACCAAAGCCTTGCTGAAGTTAGTCTTGCTCTGTGTGGTGGGCCCCTGCACAGCTGATCATTCAAGTAACCAAGACTCAAGTCCACACGAGGGGTGTACCTCGAGGGCCCAGTTGGGAGACCAGGGAGGCTGTGCCACTGGACCCTACAGGACACCTACTATAATAGGCCACCCTAGGAAGCCCAGGTCAAACACAGGGAGGCAGCCAAAAGGAGAAGACAAAGAAACAGGTCCCAAATGAAAGAACAGAATAAAACTCCAGGAAAAGAGCTAAATGAAATGGAGGTAAACAATCTAACAGATGTAGAGTTCAAAACACTGCATATAAGGATGCTCAATAAACTTAGTGAGGACTTCAGTGAACTTAGTGAGGGCCTCAAGAGCATAAAAAAGGACCAGTCAGAAATGAAGGAGGCACTAACTGAAATAAAGAATAATTTACACAGATTCAATAGTGGAATAGGTAAAGCCAAGAAGCAAAGCATCGATTTGGAATATAAGGAAGTAAAAAAATACCCAATCACGATAGCAAAAAGAAAAAAGAATTAAAAAAAAAAATGAGGATAGTGTAAGGAGCCTCTGGGATAACTTCAAGCGTGCCAACATTCACATCATAGCGCGCCAGAGGGAGAAGAGAGGGAGCAAAAATTTGAAAACCTATTTGAAACAATAATGACAGAAAACTTCCCTAACTTGAAGGAAACAGACATACGAATCCAGGAAGCACAGAGTCCCAAACAAAATGAACCCAAAGAGGCATCATGATCAAAATGCAAAATGCGATGCTCCTTCCTGCTCTCTGTGCAGTCAGGTGTGTGAGGACCATTCAGATCGGGATCAGAACTTGCCTCTTGCAAACCAGGACCAGCGTCATCCCTCAAAGGTCTCTGCCTTGGTTTTCCTGCCATTTCAAATATTACCCCCCGTGGGTTTAGTCTCAGCTTCTCCGCACTACCTGCTCGGCCTCCCTCTCCCACCTGCTCCTCCAGCGGAATCCACGCAGCCTCTTCCAGCCTGCTTCTGTCGTCCTCATTGTCACAGGGCCGGACCTGACTCAGGGGGACTCCATGAGCTGCCTCAGCCCCGACGCCCTCACCTTTACATCCCACCCTCCACCAAAATGAAGCTGATGAGATAAGCAGAGCCCCCCTGGGGACTCTGGGGCTGCTGGGGGCTGCTGGGTCCTGCACGGCCCACGTACCCTGACCAGGGCTCCGATGTCCTACCTCTGAGCACTGGGGTCTTATTCTAATCCCAGGTTTGGGGTTGACCTCAGTTCCCCACAGGACCCCATTTCTGATACCCTAGTTACAGCTCTGGACCTTACAAGCCCCGATTTCTCTCTTTGCCCCTCGTGGTACACCTGAGGTTTTCTTACATGTCCATTCTAGTAGCCTGTCTAGTTGCTGCTACTGCTTAATGAGGCCTGGCGCCCTACGCTCTTACTCTTCTTGTGTCCGTCCCTGCGGACTGTCATCCCTTCAGTGACTCAGCTCCCAGATCCGGGCCGCACTGTTCTGACAGACAGAACGATATGGGCCGCGTGGCTGCCGGCTGACCCACGCTCGGCCACCCTCTCAGTCTCTGCCACCCGCTCAGTCTCTGCCACCCACTCAGTCTCTGCCACCCGCTCAGTCTCGGCCACCCGCTCAGTCTCTGCCACCCTCTCAGTCTCTGCCACCCGCTCAGTCTCTGCCACCCGCTCAGTCTCTGCCACCCTCTCAGTCTCTGCCACCCCCTCAGTCTCTGCCACCCCCTCAGTCTCTGCCACCCGCTCAGTCTCTGCCACCCGCTCAGTCTCTGCCACCCTCTCAGTCTCTGCCACCCCCTCAGTCTCGGCCACCCTCTCAGTCTCTGCCACCCGCTCAGTCTCTGCCACCCTCTCAGTCTCTGCCACCCGCTCAGTCTCTGCCACCCGCTCAGTCTCTGCCACCCTCTCAGTCTCTGCCACCCCCTCAGTCTCTGCCACCCTCTCAGTCTCTGCCACCCTCTCAGTCTCTGCCACCCGCTCAGTCTCTGCCACCCTCTCAGTCTCTGCCACCCCCTCAGTCTCTGCCACCTCCTCAGTCTCTGCCACCCTCTCAGTCTCTGCCACCCTCTCAGATGCCCTGGTCCCGTCGAGTGAAGCCTGCACAGAGGTGCAGGGTGTCCACCTGGGAGTCGCCAGGTTCTTGCTCTTATTTGGAGCTTGACTTCGGCACTCTCTGTCCTCGTGGGCATGTCTAATTCTAGGTGGCAGCCGCACCCAGCCTCGCCAAGAAGGATTGGAAAGGAAAAATTAGGTAAGATTTTCAGAGTTGCTTTCTGTCGGGAGGGCTGTTGAGGGTGGTAGTCCCGGGACTGCTCAGAGCCAGGATGGGTTTTCTTGTGTCTTTCTGTAATTAATTCATTTCCTCCTCCGAGGTGGATCTGGTTTTAGTGAGTAATAATTTATTATTTTGTTTAATCCCCACCTGCCCTGATGCATCAGAGTTGAATTTTCACCAATCGTTTTAACTATTTCTCAGAGTTATAAAGCGCAGTGCATGTGCTGGAAAATATTCTTGGAGTTAAGCTTAGAGTGTTGCAAACGCAAGAACGGACAGGAAACATGGGAAATACGCAGTGAACACTGAGCACTCTGAAAACAAGCTGGTGAGTACTGTTGCTGTATGGTAATATTTCGCTCACAGGACAGTCTTTTTTTCGGAATTTAAGAATAATCTAATCTCTTTACGACTATGGAGTCAATGTCATAATTTTCATTCTTCTCTAAAAGGAAGAGTAGCCGTGTATTATATTTTTCGCTTCAACTTTTCATGCTCTATTCTACTATATTGTAATTTAGAAATTGTTTTGTATACTTCTGATATAAAGCATTAGAAATATTTCTATGACCACATGATATGTGAATAGATCCGTTTAACTTTCTATATTTTTCGTCTTCATTCACCACCTTTGGTTTAGTTTTGAGGTTATATTTTTACAGTTTGATTCTTAGATTTCATGTATAATTTGTAACCCTGTCAGAACTCAGGTTTGTAAATGTGCTGGAAATCCTGATATTAATCCTGGATATTGTCTTTAGGCCTAAGAAAGAAATCCTCTGAACATTTCTACTTTGTACAAAAATATGATCTTTTGTCTATTTTAAAAACCTTCCACTAGGAATCAAACCTTCACTATATAGTTAGTAAGTGCTTTTTATGTATCTGGTTATGTCTGAACCAATGATCTTTGATGGAAATGTGCTAAAAATTAAAACAATAAGTTAAAATTCACTGCGTGAAGAATAAATGAGATATTTGCCTTTGCATTTTGGGGCTATGGCTACCAGCCTGTATTAATGGCCTGCACCATAAGCCAAAGGAGAAAGTCCTGTTGCTCAGTGCTAGTTGAATAAAAGGATCCCATAGACCAGGGGTGGGGAACATCCAGGCTGCGGGCTATATGAGGCCCAAGAAATCAATACCAGCTACCACCACCCGCCTCACCAAATTAGCCTCACCAATATAGCAGGCTAATTTTTAAATTGATAATTTTGTATGGGCCAAAAATGATGTTATAAATATCCAAATGGCCCTTGGCAGAAAAAAGTTTTCCCTCCCCTGCCATTGACGATTCCTGGTTCACCAAAAGTAAAGGGGTTTGTCTTCTTCGGTCATTGAACAAAGGATCTGCCTCAAAATGTTCTCTTTTGTCTCTTCTGAACTTGAGATATCAAAATGGGGTCCTCAGGATGCTGGAACTAGCCAATGGGAAAAAAAATCCCTTTAGCCAAGTACTCATCACCTTTAGTTTCTCTAGATAGCAAGAAACCAGAAGATATCTATAGATATCTTAAGTTGTTTTTTACAGCATGTATCTGGACAGCTGACTGAATGTTTCACTTTATTATGAACATTTGGGGCATAGTTAGAAATATATTTTTTTCTGAAGACCAAATTTAATAATGAACATTAGAATAATTTGAAGATTATAAACCAAATAAATAAATAAATAAATAAATTCTAGTGTTTGTTTTTCTTTTGGGATATAGGAGATCTTAAGTTAATCCTTAAAAAGTTATGGGAAAAACCTATAGAACTTTCTTTGGTAACTACAGCTATAGCCATAGTTACTTGCCTACGGCCATTATTAGTTAAGGCTGAGTATCACATTGAACATTATTCACAGTTCTCCAGCTATTCCAACTATGTATAGAAACTCTGCCTATATTAAGAGCAACCTAACACAGTAAAAATTATGACTTGGGCTACAATATTACTCAGAGCTGAGTCTAGATCATAGGTTCTCCACCCTTGGTATAGATGCCACGTATCATCTTCCTTCTTCGAAAGAGCTGTGTTTCCAATAGGGCCAGAAAATTCTAGAAAACGGCCTAGTGAGTGAATTTTACTTTGTTTACAAAGTGCACTAAACTATCATCAGCCTCAGGCAAATTGGGTAATAACTAAAGAAACAGAATCAGCACTTAGAAAAATAGGCAAGGTTGTTATTAAAGGTAAATCCAACTTTGCTGAAATTTCCCTAGTGAATAATATGGACTTGGTTAAATGTTACCCAATCACCATAGAGCTGTTTTCTTTATTTCTTTGATACAACATTTAGAAAAAACCTAACTTAGCAAATACTTTACTGCCAAGAGTATGCCATTTTGTCTATATTTAATAACAATTATTTATTTTTATATTGTTAATGATACTTCCTAACGAACAAATGACCACACACAATTCCAGTTTGACAATTTTATGAAACTTATTGGTTGCTGGACCAGCAATTTTATAGCTATCTACTAATGGGTTATTATATCAACATGATCAGTGACAACTAACTAGCTGTCGTAGCAGCAGGAATAAAAACATGACTACTGATACTCACAGTGCGGAAGCTAACACTTACTGAGGGTCTGCTCTGCCTGACTTCCTCACAGATCCTCACAGCAAATCTACAAGTGGGTCGATTCAGTGTCCTCCTTTTGAAGATGAGCTGGGGGTGGTGAAGACGCCTTTAACTCACAGCTAGGAAGTAAGTGTTATTATCCCATGAGCTGAAGAGCCCCAGACGATTCTACATTGTTTTTGAGATGTAACCAAATGTCTGATTAAGATCCATAAATTCCTGAACCTATTCCTCTCTCATTTTCACTCTATCTCGTTCTTCTGCCTCTTTTGGCACAGCTCTACCTACACAGTCCCGATCTGGAAAATCAGTCACACAAATTAGTCGAAATGTGATGTATAATAATCTGTCTAGATCTGAAACTATTTATTCCTTTTAGAAATTTTATCTTGCTTTCTCATAGAAGTCACATTCTCGTTTGCTTTTGACAGAGAGTTTAATTTCACAGATTTAACACCGTGGCCTCCTGCTCACCTATGCTTTATCTCTGTAGCCAGTCGTGTTCGGATGACCAGGAGGCTCAGCGCTCTGCACGCTGGCGTCCACTTTCAGATGGCATCACCGGTGAAGGCTCTTCCAACCTAACTGGGGTCTGTGTGAGCCCAGGAGTCTCGAACACCCAGCACGCCCACACACAGAATCACCCCATGCACAGGTAATGCTGGGACAGCAGCTCTGACCCTTGTTGGGATGTGCTCTTTACAGGGATGTGTTTGTTCTATTCTTTCCTGGGAAATGTATTCACTCATTTAATTCACCCACATTCATGGTAAGCCTTTGCCGTATTGCCTGTTAAATTATAAGTCACTGTAAGGTAAGTCCTAAGAAGGAGAATATTTCGTAGTCTCTGTTTTCAAAGAGCTAACGTTCTAGCTGGGGACTGAAGTATTCAAGTAGAGGACGTATGTGAAATTAAAAGGAATAAATGTAAAGTACGAATGGGGAGGGGCAGGGGAGCCCATGCATGTGGCAGTGGGAAGGTTATTAGACTCCGATGGGGATGGGTCATAGTTAAAGCTTCAAGGATCCCACTCCATTGGTGATCACTTACCTTTCTTACATTGCTCCAGCCTCTGAACAATGTTTGTGGCACTTTCCTTTTGTCCCTCGATTCTGCCCTCTGCTACCTGTGACCTTCATAGAGAAACCTGGCTTTGTTCTCCAGATTTTCTCCACTCGCTTTGGAGACCACACTCGTCTCTCCTTGGTTCCTGACCTTATTTGTTGGCTGAATGAACTTACCTTAGGATTGTATCTCTAAATCTTCAGCCCTCGCTTGGAAACTTGGCCTTGGCTATAAATTGCTATTTCTGCTTGGAAATTTGGTTGGGTTGCTCTGGATAAAAAAATATAAACTGTTTATACTGTTGCTGGGCAATGTGAAAGAGTGAGTGAGCTACACAGGGTGGAGTTAGCAAATCTTTCTTCTTGTTTGCAGAGATAAAGTAACATCTGATCGGGGCATTCTTAACCCTTACTGACTATCAGAATCACCCAGGGATTGTTTCTGAAGTACCAGTGGCTGAGCCCCACCCCAGGCCAATTAAATCAGAGTCTCTGGGGGTCTATGCATCAATATTTTTAAAATGCAACCAGTAATGAGAATAACGGATGTTGTCCCATTCCATCATTTAAAAAGCAGGGGAAATATGGCCTATGAAATCTAAGAGATGTGCCAGAATTCACATAATTTGTACCAAAGTGACAAAAACAGAAACAGGAGAACTTAGGTATCCTGTTCTCTGGTTACATGCATTTTATTTTATGAAGCTGCTCTTTTACAATTTCTTTTAAAGGAAGGATTATAGACTCCATTAAAGCACCTTCAGTCAAGGTAAAGAAGGTATTTTTCTAGGGCTAACTTGAACTTAGTGGTCCTCACTGCCCTGGCCTTGGTGACCCCCGCCTTCATTCTACCCCTGCTGCCTTGGGGCTGTCGCCCTTTACACGAAACTCAACACGTACTGTGGCCCATGTTTTGTAACGTTGAAGATCGACTCCAGTCTGTGTGTAAGGCATGAGTGTTGCATCCCATTCCTTGAGGGTTTTGCTCTCATCCTCTCACATTAGACAATTGAACATGTACATTCCTGACACTATGCCAGGCACTTTACAAACACCATCTTCCTTAATCTTGTCTTTCATCTTAGGTAGACGTCATTATCATTATGAGGAAACCGAGGCTTCGAAAGACAAAGTTGCCAAATGCTACACAGTTCACATGTGGCAGAGCTCAAGCCCAACCCCCAAATCTTCTGATCAAAGCTCCTGATCTTAATCCCTATGCTGTCCTGTATCCAAAATGAAAGTATTTTTGAGGACTAGTGAGAGGTACTTTGAATCCTGTATTTCAAGATAAGGGCGTCCGGGGCCCAGAGAAGCTAAGAAAGGGTTTAAGACGTCAGAGATCTGACACACCTCTTCAATGCACTCTTCCACTTTGCTTTGGTGACTAAGAACATTAACAATAAATATTTGCAAAAACACTTTAGCATGAACAGAGCAATTCGGTTTTGTTAATTCTCAAGCTAACCCTGAAAGTCACAAGCCATTTTATCACCAGTTCGTACATGAGGAGTAGGGTCTCTGAGAAGCTAAGCCGCTAGCCTAGCAGAGCGTCGATTCCAGCACTGGGGTTTCTAACCTCCAACTGCATGTTTACCACGCTAGTAAGTCGTTAATCTATGACCAGGATTAGTGCGAAGTGAGCAGGGTTAAAAGACACATCATTGGAACGCTTCTAGGGGATTCTTTTCTTTGTGCACTTTCAGGGAATAAGCTTGGGAAGAGCCAATGCCCTCGGGTGGATTCTCTGGTCATTCTAGGTCCTGGGCAGCTACCTCCCTGCCGGACGATGGGGAGTTATATAGGGCTATTATTAGGAGTTGATTCATCACCAGGCTGTCAATATTGGGAATCCTGTAAGAAAAATTATGGAAAACCCTCCTGGTGTGTCATTTCTCTTCTGATAAACCACTGAGCAATACTCAAGTATTGGTGCAAACATGGGTGCCCGAGGAGACCATGCCGCCTTCTGGGTGGTGAGGTCGACAATAATGGGAGATATTTAGCAGATGGAGTTAACAGGCTTGGTCATGGATTAGGAGGCTTCAAAGATGACCTCTTTGCTTCAGCTTCTGGAACTGAATGGAAAAATGGCGATGCCATTTAATAAAATGTGAGAGCTAGCCAGGGGTCACTGGGGAGATTATGACTTTGAGTTTGGTTATAGTGGGTCTGGGTCATCTTTTATTTGATTTGATTTTTCCCATCACCATTTATCCCCTCTATGCGCTCTTCCCCCTCCACTCCCCCCTTCCCCACTCCCTGCCATCACCACACTTGTCCATGTCCACGTCCACGTCCACGAGTTCTCGCTCTTTTTCCTTCTTCTGTGCTCCTCCCCTCCCCCTGCGCAAAGCTGTCTGTCTGCTCTCTGTCCATGAGTCTGTCTCAGTTTTGCTTGGCAGCTCAGCTTGTTCATTGATTTCCACATATGGGTGCCCTGGCTGGTTTGGCTCAGCAGTCCGAGCGTCGGCCCCACAGACCAGAGTCTCGAGTTTGATTCCAGTCAAGGGCACGTACCTCAGTTGTGGTTCGGTCCCCAGCCCTGGTTGGGGTTGTGTGGGAGGCAGCCAGTCGATGTGTCTCTCTCATGTCGACATTTCTCTCTGTTCAAGCTGGTGATCACGCATCTATACCCGCTCTGCAGCCCAGGTGCTTGATCTCCCCAGCAGTGTGGCTGCTCAAGGGCGGGCCCAGAGAAAGCAGAATGCCGTCTGTCTGGCAGCTGGAAGAAGTGAGAAGGGGAACGGGAGGTTTCGGGGAATTAATAAGTGTTATTGAAGCAATGGACCATAGAACAAAAGATGAATAAGGAGGAATATGAGTGAAGCAAAGGCTGCGGGCTGAAGATTTTAATAAAATTGTATTTTAATTGTTATATAAATTTAGGTTGTTATATAAATAACTGAACAAACAAGATGGAAAGAGAGGAGATGGTGGTTAGAACAATGGGTTCTTGAGGAAGTGATTTTGGAAGTAGAGTGGTTGGGGTAACGACAATGTCCAGTGGAGGGTCAGGTGCATGACAGAGAATTTACCATTAAAATGTTGTTCTGCTTACATGAAAAGACGAAGACATGCCTACCCATCACTGGAAAATAGAATAAGAGAAGATGACATATATACAGATTTTGATTTTCCGCAAAGTTAGAGAAGGCATGCAATTACTTCCACCTGGATAAAAACTTGGACTTTAAGCCTAAATATCTTCAGAGATTGTAGGGATTCAAATGATGTAAATGCACTCAGTTGTAAATAACACCAAAGAGATGATAAATCAGAAGGCTTTTTGTTTTTTTATTACTAATATTTTCATTGACACTCATAAGTGAAAGAAAATTGCTGCTGTAATTGGTCTCTGTGGAACGTCTTTTTGGCTTGTTTCTTAGTTTGTGTGATAACAACGACAATTGGAGCACTTGTAATATGCCTGTTGAATAATAAAGGAAGTGACAACTCTTCCATTGTTATCAAGGTATACCTAAACAATGCGGAGCCTGAAATTGCAGTTCAGGAAGAAACCCCTATTGCTTCTCAACCTACAGTGACAACCATATCAACTGAATCTACAACTACAGACACTTCAACAGACTCTACAACCATTTCAACATCCACAGAACCCACAGCACTATAGCCACAACCATCACTTGAACTGCACCTACAACCACCACAGGTTCAACTGAACTTAACGACCACAACAGCCATCACCCCTACTTGAACTAAAACCACAGATGCCCCCATTTCAGAGGAATCGACAGCAGCTACAATTAATTACAACATCAAATTTCAGTAAAACTTTATTTTAGCTGACAACCAAAATAATCACTGCTTCTACCATCTCTTTTAATGTACACCTACATTCACTTCAATGGACTCTATAACCACTGCCACGTCCGTTCAGCCTGTAACTACTGTAATGTCCACTTAGCCTACAATAACAATGGTCATCAGTCTCCTTTAGCTGTCTGTAAACTACACCTGTTTGTCTGAACCTGCAGCTACCACCGCCATATTATCACTTTACCTAATAGACCTACCATCAGTCAACATGTTCTCTTCTGTGGCACGTTAATATTGGTATCACTACAGGTTACCTGCAGCTGTCCTCCCCACCAGCTGCTTCCCCACTGGAGCATCTCTTCCGCAATAGCCGAGTCAGTACCTGCTGCTGTTACTGTGCTACACCTGCCGTGGCTCCACGGTGCCACTTAAGAACAAGAATTTAGACAATGAATAGTGCAATAATTATTTTGATTTTCACTGAATCGACACTGAGGACTTCTAAATGTATTAAAACTGTTTTTAAAGAACTGACCAGTTAGCCCTGGCCAGTTTGGTTCGGCAGTTAGAGCGTCAGTCCGTGGACCAATGAGTCGCGGGTTCGATTCCGGTCAAGGGCATGCAACTGGGTTGTGATTCGTCCCCGGCCCTGGTTGGGGTCGTGCAGGAGGCAGCCACTCGATATGTCCCTTTCGCGTCAATGTTGCTCTCTCTGTCTCTCTCTTCCTCTTTCTCCCTCCCACTCTATCTGAACTAAAATGGAAAAATGTCCTCAGGTGAGGATTAAAAAAAAAAAAGAACTGAACATTTAAACTATAAAGAATCTGCTCTTGGTACTATTATTCAAAATAATATAATTTCATAGGAAAAATAACCCAATTTGTTCATTTAGCAAATCTTAAAGAAGTTTTATTAAAAAAACAACTTCTTATAATAAAAGAGCCATTTAGATTTTAATATGTATTGTTTTCAGTTCAGAACATTACATTCCTCTGTACACAAATTACATGAATAATAAACATAAATTTTGTATGGGGAGATTTAAACAAATTTATTGTAGAGAAAATATTGGACTTTATTATAATTCTTTCTTTTATGGTGAAGTTATATTTCTTCAGTTTCTCTTTAGATTGCAGTTACCTTTAAACAATTATATTCTATTTGCATTAATATTATTGAAGATGCATTTGAATCTCTTTTAAAATTACAAAATTAGCCTGGCTGGTGTGGCTCGGTGGTTGAGTGTCGACCCATGCACCAAGAGGTTACCGGTTCGATTCCCGATCAGAGCACACGCCCAGGTTGTGGGCACGATCCCCAGTGAGGGGCATGCAGGAGGCGGCCAATCGATGTTCTCTCTCATTGATGTTTCTATCTCTCTCTACCCCTCCCTCCTCTCTCTCTCTAAATATCAATAAAGAAAAAAAATTTTTTTAATTACATAATTAGTTTTCTAAAATCTTGCAAGTCAATCAATTAAAAAAGACATGTCTTAAGTCCCAATTATGTACTATAGACAGAAGATAGAAAAAAATAGCAATGCAAATTGAGCATTAAATTGATTAATTTAGACTTAATTTTAAAATTCTTAATACTTCTACCAGATTTAATAATACCCCAGACTTAGTAAATCAAGGATCTTTAGGTTGGAACTAATAATCTATAATTATAAAAACTTCATAGATGTTTGTAATGTCCGGGCAGGTTTGAGAATCACTGGTTCAAAGGTCCTAGTCTAAGAATGACAATACAGTGATATAAGTTCTAATTACAAATATTAGAAATCAGAATCTTGTTCTAGATATTCAAGAAAAAAATTACAGACCAACTATGTACAAAATAAACCTACTTAACTGATTTTATATATACGATCAAGGTGGGTATGTTTCATTTACCAAATACTTCCAAGAAAAACTTCAAAATTAAAGCTTCTGTGCAAATTTTAAATCATTTAAAATCTTAGTTTGGGGAAGGCAGGAGAGGGGTGGGAGTGGGAAGGAGGGGGATCAAGGGGGGAAGAAAGGGGGGTGTCTGTAATACTTTCAACAAATAAAATAAAATAAAATATCTGAAAGTTGGACCTGAAAGCATACTCATTGTTAATTTTAACTAGGTGAGTTATTTTAATGATATGTGCTTAGAAGTAATGACGTTTTAGTAAATATGTTAATTGAGATTTTGTATATGTGCACTGGCCTTCACTTCCTCCTTGCTGTTTTAGTTAAGAATATTTTGTGAGATGTTCAAAACATCACTGGTTAGACCATTAAATTTCTGATTTAGAGTTAGCATTTTCCAATTCTTTCACAGATCTACTTATCATCAGACTGATAAATAATCTGAAGTTTACTCATACCTGTAAGAAAAACATGTACAGCCTATTTCATGCAGAATAAGATTTCCCCAGCCTATAACAAAATGGGTCTTTAGAAAAATACATGTTGAATAAATGAATACATAGTAGCTGACTTGTATTATGTAAGGTCCATGAGAATAGACCTTTTATTGCATCTACCTGGCATATCGTAGACCCCAACAAATATTTGTTTCAGATTTCAAATGTTTGTATTTGAAAGATAATTTTTAAGGCCTGACTCTGCAAGAAAATAACATTGAACTCTTAAATGTTAATATTAATAAAACACTTTTTAGCCCATTTTGTTTAAATTGAATCATTTCAATTCTTTTAATTTTTTATAAGACTTATTTCCCACCTGTTAATAATGTACTGGATCATTTTCAGAATGCTCAGTTTCCTTCCACGTGGAGTTCGTAAGTTCCCATAGTACCGAGGAGGGTGCGGGTCCCGCTGACGTTGGAAAAGGATGGTCAGTGGTAGCAGGTGGGGGAAACAGCCTAATTCTTAATCAACTCTCAGTAATTTCTTCCCTGGAAGGCAGATCTAGTTCCTAGGGTAAGCACCCTTCTGGAATGTTCTCTCACTCTTTACCTGATGAAACTTGACACACCTTACTTGCTGTCTCTGTTTCCTATGTCTTTGTCACTTATTTTCAGATCTCAGCCTTTGCTTTGGAACTTTATAGTATATTTTCCCTTCCTAACACTATTACCAGAAATTAAACTTTTTTTTTTGTGGGCATATCACAGACAATACCTCGTATGATTTTAGCTAGCTTCCAGGCAGCTCTTCCGAATACAACTGCTTTAGGACGAACACAGCCCTGCTGGCCAGGTAATGGAACATAGACATCTAATATTAAAAACCTGTGGCCAGCCCTGGCCGGTTTGGCTCAGTGGTTAGAGCGTCAGTCTCCGGATCACAGAGTCCCGGGTTTGGTTCCCGCTAACGGCATGTACCTCAGTTGCAGTTTGTCCCCGGCCCTGGTCTATCTAAAGATAAACGCAAAAATGTCCTCAGGTGAGGATAGAAACAAAAAACAAAACAAAAAAACTGTGGCCAAACAAACCTTGACTTTGTTTCAAGACTACACCTGGTGAAATCTGATCTTTTAACTTCAGTTTTCCTGGATGCTGATGTTAACTTTTTTCTTTAGCTGCCTTGGCAAGGTTTCTGGTTTTCTCATACGGGTTGATACTTTGGGCAGCTGTCTTTCATATTCTTGGAGTATTCCTTTTTAAATTTTCCCTTCAGATCTGCAATGATTTCAACCCCTTAATCTTGGCTCACAAATTCAAGTCCTTCCTATTTATTAATCTAGGATGACTTGTCAGCCGTTTGATCTAGGGGAGGCAGAAGGCCGTCGGAACTCGACATCTGGGGTTCTGTTTCGATCAGCACTTCTGTTCCCTTTCGAGGGTCAATGCTGGAGTGACTTTCAGTGAAGCTAAAGATATAATGCAACTTATTTAGGATTGTTGTTGCTTGAGTCATGGCAACTTCATCACATCAGGGCAAAAGATCGCTCAGCAGCTACTGTGACTTTCCTTCTCAGAGCTAATATTAAAAGCCTACTTTACGAAAGTGTATGTTGAAAATAGTTTCAAGTGAAGATGCAACAGTTCCCAGGGCACCGCCGAGCTGGCCGACATGCAGCTGCCTGGAAACAGCTCAGTGCAGCCAAGAGAGGCTTCGCCAGGGCTCAGATCGCACCCTGGTGCAGAATATGACAACTAGTAAGACCTTCTGGGGATATGTTTTCATCAATTCAACACTGTGTTGGAGTTAAGTCACTCTAAGAGGACCAAGAAAGGCCGTTATAACTCTGATTTTCCTTCCCAGGGCACTAGATTTTTCAGGAATCCACCTGCTCATGGACTAAACAGCAGCCGCAGGGCTCAGCTTCCAGCTGCTGCACTGAAGGCCTGTGCCTTCTGGAGAGCTGTTCCCCAGGAGGAGATTGTCTTCCTACAGCTGTGACTCCCTGGAATTTGAGGGACAACCCATAAGCTTTGGAGTAGGCTGAGGCACACTCTTTTCTCTGAAGAGAAACGAAATATAAAAGCTCAAAGAGCCTGGCCAGTGTGGGCATTGTCCCAGGGACTGAGAGGTCCTGGTTCGATTCCTGGTCAGGGCACATTTCCGGGTTGCGGGCTCGATCCCCAGTCAGGGATGTGCAGGAGGCAGCCAATCCATGTATCTCTCTCATCAATGTTTCTAGCTCTCTCTCCCTTCCTCTTTCTCTAAAATAATCAATAAAAACATTAAAACATTTTTTTAAAAGCTTAAAGATAATTCTATTCTCAGAAAATCACGGAGTTCTCTTTAATTACATGTACAAAGGATATTAGCAAAAAATCTGAAGAAACAGAATAATAACTCAGTAACAAAATCTTCAATAGAAGTAACTTAAGATAAAATAACAAATACCTTTGTTTTCCTTAGTGGCACTGGGAATAAAATCCACTCAGTTGTGGTGAGCATGAAGTGAAGTAAGCAATCTTGTATTTGGTGGATAGCGCTCTGATTGAATTATGGAATATTTTGTATTGTATGTTTGAGAGAATGCATTGAGGGACAAAACTTGGCAAGCTGGATTGATAACTTTAAATGTTATACCCTTTGTCAGAGTATGTCAGATCACTGGAATATATACTGAGGAAATACCTGAAATATGGTACAAATAAGATTTTTGCAGTTTTACAAAGGCAAAGCATTGGAAAAACAATGTCCAAAAAGCGGAAGGCCTACATGATGAAATCCAATATAGTGATGACATTTTCAAGCGTCTTGAGAAACAAGGTTGTAAAAAAGCAGATTATATAATATGCAATGCTATTTCAAGATAAAAAGAAAGGACTATACTAGAAGATGGAATTCAGCGCAGTTAGGCTGCCTGAAACACCAGTGTCCTGAGATGTAGTTAGCTGGAAAGAGCATCACTTTCCCCCTAACAAGAAAAAGATGGCTAATCCACAAAGTCGTGACATTTTGAACTCAACAGAGAACTGACATCACAGGGCAATCTACTAGCCTGGCACTCAAATAAAGACAGGTGTCTCCAAGGAAAGGTAGGACCCAGGTACTGGCTCACAGTGGCAGGACACAATAGGAAGATGGGGTCACAATACAGCAGTTAGAAATTCAACTAAATTTAAAAAAAAATGAAATTGCTAAAGGCCACATGTGGGCTAGCGTGAGAACACAAACACTGGGAGCCACAGACGGAAGGGGAGCTGGTGCCCAGGAACAGGATCTCTCCAGCCTGTGCCTAATGCACCCCGTGATTCCACCAGTCTCTGCAGAGGCTGCTGGCTCTTCCTGGAACTCTCCCTCTTCTTCCTTCCCCTGCCTACTCCTCACCCATCCTTCCATCCCAGCCTAGCTGTTGAACTCTAGGAATGACTTCCCTGACATCACCAACCGGGTTACGTGCTTTGGCACCACGCTTTGAGAACCCAAAGAGGTAAGTACCTTATCAAAGCACAAACCACGCTGTCTTTAATCACCTGCTTGAGTATCAGTCTCCTTACTTGACTGAGCTCACTGTCTGTTATCTCCTGAACCCACCGCAAGTAGCACAGGGCTCTTCCAGGCACGAAGTTGATGTCAACAGGTGTTGGTTGGTTGAATGAATGAATGAATGAATGATTATTTTGAGTAGTGAACCAAGTTTTGTCAACTACATTACCCTCTGTGAAAGGTATGATGGAATAAAGTAAATGAGGAAGATAAATGTAAAATGACAAGTTTTCAAGTTCACACGGAGTTCTTTGTAGAACAATTATTATAGACGTGAACTAGAAGGTAACGTCATCAGTGAATGATGTCCTGATGATAGATTCTTTCTCAGCTCACCAGGCAAGGTTTAGTGAGAATGTAGGTCTTGAGCACAATATCCAGTTTAAAGACTATTTTGATCTTCCAGACAGACACAGAGGTAAACACTAATGTAACTTGCCTGTCAGAATTTATTTACACAGTATGCACCAGACAACTTTCCAAGCCAGCCTCCTTCCAATCAGGAAGAGGATCTTCTTGCTCCATCTTTTACTCATTGTAGCTAAGCTGGCTTCTTAATTCACTCTGATCAGTTTTTTTCCGGTTTGGATACTTACCTGTGACTTCTCAAAGAAACTACAGCTTCTGCCTTAGTCAAAGTTTAAAACTAAACTAAAAGGACAGAAATTGTGAATGGTGAACTGGGTTGTCAGGGAACCGAACCTCACCACAGCTCTGCAAATCTGTTAAGTGAGGAAATGAGACTAGATAATTTCTACGGTCCCTCAAGTTTCCTGTTTCAATGAAGAAAACAGTTGAGTAATTACAAAAGTCAAGACAATAGGCTAGAGGCATGGTTTTAAGGAGGAGATGACAGGTAAGCTAGAGGCTTGCTTGCTTTTCATTTCAGTAGGAGGTAATTGATACCCTCATCTAAGCAATGTTTTGAAGTTAAGCATGTCTAGAATTTAAAGTGGTTTGGACAGTTGCCAGAAGGGTTTCCTAATAATTTATACAAAGGAATTGGAACTTTCACAAAAATAGATGGTCTAGCTATGTCTTTTTAGATATTTCAATATGTTGATATTAATGGACTAGTATGTTGATGGAAGAAATGTTATACTGGATTTCAGAGTCATTGTCTTGCTAGAAAGGCTCATAAAAGAAAAATAGTTACGTGTATTTTCAGTCAAGTGGTGGCCTGGTTAAATTGCAGTTTTACAGAATGTATCTGCTCCACAGGTTGAACTGAATCCACCCTGGGGTAGATGTATCATAGCTAACTTAGTGTTAATTAAGTCCAGTATTTCCTGAAATCTGCAACTACAAAAGGCATTGAACAAAGTGACCAATGTTTCTAGAGCTGGGATTGTGAAATTGGTTGACATGGAATGGGAGGAAATTACAAAACAAGCCTACAAATGTTGAACAACTTGAAATCCAGTGAGTAGTAGAAATGTTTTTAACTCTTCCATTTCACTTATATTTTGAGCTCCCCACTTGTTATAAAATGTCTAATTTTCTACTGGTAAATCAATATGTTTCACAACAGTGTTTATTTCACCAGTGTTAACATGAAAATAGGCACAGTTTCATAAAGGCATTTCTACTCTGCAGACCTTTTATCGTGTGACCAAATGGTAATCATTTAGATATAGAATTCATTTTCTTTTAGATTTCAACCATTGAAGAAACCAGTTTCTTCAGATACAGAATCCATGTCGCTTTCCCACATTAACTATGCAAACATAGCCAGGTAGAAAAAAGAATACGTAATTTCAGAGAACATTTTCTAGATGGTTCTTCAGGACTTAACTAAGCTCTTAGACCGTACTCTGAAATTATACATCATTTTTGCAGCCTGAACAGAAAGCTTACACTCACGTGTGGCATTTAATGAACAAAATAAGTGAACAAAATAGAAACAGACGTATAGATAGAAGAGACTCACAGCTGTTGAGGGAAGGGGGGTTGCTAGGCTGCGTGAAAAAGTGAAGGGATTAACCAAAACAGATAAATAAACAAACAAGCTCATAGACCCAGACAACGTGATGATTACCAGAGGGAAAGGGGTTAGGGGGAGGTGGAAGAGGTTACAGGAGGGATAAACGGTGATGGAAGGAGACTTAACTTGGGGAGGTGAACACATAATACAATATATAGCTGATGTATTATAAAATTGTATATCTGAAACCCATATAATTTTGTTAACCAGTGTCACCCCAATAAACTTCATAAAAAAGAAAAATAATAATAAAAAATGAAATAATAAGGAACCCACAGGTCTATTACCAGTTTATCACAAATAGTGCCACATGACTATCTACTCTCAAAGATTACTGCTTTTTCTAGAAGGCGTTCCTCTGCAGAAGTAGAAGAGTGGATTTGTACTTGGAGTTCCCACTTGCACCCCGTAGGAAAGGTGGGGAGTTGAGGCAGAAGTAGTCTCATTCTCCAAGAGTTGAAATAAGACATGAGCAAAGCACTTTCTTCAATGGGCGCTCCGTTCCCTCCTTTCTCTGACCCTTTCCACAGCCGGCTTATGAGAAAGGGACTTCCCACAGGGCAGGGAGAACCTGCCAACCAGCTGGGCTTTGAGCTTCTGAGGATTTTTTCTTTTTTTTAAAATAAGATACTTTACATTTGTTTTTCAGAGATCTCCCCCCACCCCCAGGCACATTGAATAACCTCTGAAGATTGGGAATAAAACCAAATTTAAGGATCAGCAATTGTGTTTGCTGAGTATGTTGGGACTATAAGCTAATTGTGCCTGCAGTTCTAAAGCCGAGCCATATGTCTAATCCCCAGTGATTAGTCTTGTGCCAAGCTCATGGTACGTGGTTCAGAAATGTTTGCTGAAAGTGTTGGATTAGACCTGACTCATCTGTCAATGTCTGGAATCCTGAGACATCAGGCCTTGGCTTGTGTTGCCCTGAACCTGCGTTAACCCAAGTGCCCCTTGGAACAAGAAGGTCTGCAGTTCCCACCTGGCCTGCTACTCAGGTGGAGGTAACCCCTTCTCATGCCGATCCTTGAGCGATGTTCATTCCTATCTTGCTATTTCCTCTCTCCTAGTTCACCTTTCCATTCTTCCCCTTCTTCCTGAACTCTTCTTCGGTGCCCCATGAAATGCCTGTTACAAAGTAGACAAACTCTCCCACTTTTCAGTCTCTCTCAACAGTTATTCCGCCATCTGTTTGCCTTAAAAAAACACGGTCTTTTCCATGGGTAACGTTTCCCTTTGTTGTTAGTGATCATGATTCATGTTTTGGCAACACTGGGGGTGTCCGTGGGGGTTCAGGGGAAGGCGAAAAATCTAGTCCCCCATCATTGCTGGCAAACCACTCCTTATCTTTTCTCACTAAAGCACATAGTTATTTGAGGCCCGTGCCGTTTGGTTATCTTACCTTCCAACCCTCCCTGTGACCATCATTATTCAGTTCCTGGCCACTTCCATTTGACATCTCTTCAGTCCTTTTCTCTACTCAGTTTCTGTCACCTCATAGTTCTCAGACTGTTTTGATACCAGGGACCGTCACTTTATGTAGTTAGTGGTCACTTAGCCCCCAGTAACCCATAGAGCCCGTCCTCTGCAAGAACAACTCACCCACTAAAAATTTTAACTTCAATTTTATACTCCGACCGCAAACACTTGCTTTTCTGGATATCTCATTTTCTGATTTCCAGTATACCTGTGCTTGGACTTCCTTGGGACTACCAGTGCCCTTGTCCCTGAGCCCTAGCCCAACCCAGATCCATGCTGAGGTGTCCTTGGAATAGAGTAGAGGCTAGATGTACAGACTCCAGAGAAAGATCTGGGCAGGAGGTAATGGTTTTGGAATTGTATTCTCCAGTAGATTTACTCCTCCACTACTTCCTCTCCGTGAACAGTGCCTCCTCTACCAGGTGTCCTGGCCATTACGCACCTGTGGAGAGCAGAGTTAGCATAACTAACTTCATCTTGAGTTTGAACCTTATCTTCTGAACACATACATGTAAGTCTGGGCTGACTGCCAAGTTTTGGGCTGCTGGCGAAATGAAGATGACTAGGCACTTCCGTGGACATTACCAAATATTCTGATTTAAGACTTCATCTTGGGAGACCACAAGCAAATCTAACAAGTGCAGGTAAAGGCAGACACCGCCACAAGAAGGATACAATTGAAATAAAACAGTGACACTTGCTATTCGCCCTCCTGCGAATGAACCGTGCTGACTGCTCGTGTGTCTGGCTTGGTGGCCATTCGTTACTCCAGGGCTGTGCTGTCTCGAGCTGGTTCAGCAGTCTTCTTTGCATGACATGGACCCCTGGACGCTGAGGCCTCTGTGACTCCGAGTGACCAGTGATCACCACTCTGTGAGTAGCCTAGACCGGAGACATTTGGGACACTTGGACTTACGGTTCGTTAACCCCCAATAGTTGTGTGTGTGTTCTGATGTGTTTGTAATTTGGATTATCCTGCAAGTAATCAAAGCTAAGGTGACAGCACAGTCACCTGTGTTGGCTCACTGTTGGTACTTGGTGTCAGGAACCTAGAGGGTCAAGTGACCACCTAGGGTCCTAGCCTCAGTCAGGTGATACTATCGCACTGTTGTCTGTGTCCATTGGTTACATATATGCATACAAGTTTTTTGGTTTATGTCTTTGTGCCCCACTTCCAACCCCCTTCCTCTGAGGTTTGTCAGTCTGTCCCCTACTTTCATGTGTCTGAATCTATTTTGTTCATCAGCTTATTTTGTTCATTATATTCCACAAGTAAGTGAGATCATGTGATACTTATCTATCTCTGACTGGCTTATTTTGTTTAGCATAATACTCTCCAGGTCCCTCTATGCCATCTCAAAGTACCCTTAGAGATCTTTTTTCTTTTTTTTTTTTTTTTTATAGCTGTATAGTATTTCATTGTGGAAATATACCACAGCTTTTTTTATCCCACATCTACTGATCGACATGTAGGCTGTTTCTAGATCTTAACTATTGTAAATAGCACTGCGAGTCTGAAAATCTCAAGTGTTGAAAGTGATGTAGAAAAATGGTCACTTTCATACATACACTACTTGTAGGGATGCAGACTAGTAAAAACATTTAGGAAAATATTTTGACATTTTCCTGTAAGTTTGAATGTGCATGCCCTTTAATATAGCAACTCCTCTCTCTCTCTCTCTCAATAGATATAAATATGTAAATATAGGTATAGATATATATGCCTATATCTCTCTCTCTCTCAAACACAGGTTTGAATGTGTAAGTCAAATACATAGATTTTTTTAAATAAATACTTATTATAAGTGTATTTTCTCTCCCTTATGATTTTCTTTCTTCAAGCTTATTTTAGTGCAAAATTCAGTATATAATACATATAACATACACAATATGTATTAATTGATTATTTATGTCATCAGTAAGGCTTCCAGCCAGTGGTAGGCTATCAATAGTTAAGCTTTGAGGGGAGTACAAAGCTACACTTGGATTTTCAAGTGCATAGGACGTTGGTGCTCCTGAGTGCCCCCCACTTTGTTCAGGGTCAGCTGCGAACTGAGCTTCTCCTGGAGAAGCGGCAGAACACGTGGATGAGGTGTGCACAGCAGCATGGTATGAAGGAGAAATTTCAAAATAGAAACTAAATTAATGAATAAATGCAAGTCCAGAGGCATACAGTTTAATACCTTTAACAATTATGTTTCTAAAAATGCAGTGCTATGGAGTCTAGCTATAAAGAAAAACAAGGGAGTGATAATCACATAATCTGAGGTTCTGGCTATTTCTGGGGATAGAGTAGGGGAAGTGTATCGTGGGGCTTCAATTGTGTTAGTGACTTGTGTGTATTATGATGGGGAGTAGATACATAGGTAGGTGTCTTATTACCATTCTTTATATATTTTGTTGTTAAATATATATTTTTGATAAATATCTGGAAATAGCTCACAACATTAACAAATGTAACCACTCTCCTACTACCCCTGTCTGGCACCACTCTGTCGACAGGAGCTGTGTGAATCACCCGCAGGGCCCGGTTTCAGGAGGTAGTTGTGAAATGATCCCAAATGCTCCACGTCTGGGATCCAGTGTATCTCCTTTCAGTGCAGATTTAGTCTCCATTTTCTGCTGATCAGCCCAATGCAGGAGATACACTGCAGTATAGCCATCCAAGAGGACACAAGACTGACAGATTCTATCAACCTGGCTGAAATGAGACCTTGGGGACCTTCCCTGTGATGAAATATTTCGTAGAGTAAGATAGAATTCTCAGACCAGAAAAGGGACACTCAACTCTTCTAAGTCTGTTGGGCGTCATGTAGTCACAAAGAAGAGATCCTTTAGTAATGATCATAAACCACTTATTTACAGAATTTTGTAACCCCACCCAGTAATTTATCAGTTAGTCACCCAGCATTGATTGAAGTTTTATAAATTGTGCTGTTGGTACTAATCACTCAGGAAATACATTTCAAAAACTGACCTGGTCCCTGCCTTCTAGAAGCTGGCGATGTAATGTATTTAATTACACCAGGTTGTGCTCAGTACCATAGCAGGGCGCACCTGGGACTATGATGCTACAGAGAGAGAATTACAGTCACAGGATTAAAATGCAGAAATACATAAAGTAATTCAAGGAAGGACATGTTTTCAGAAAAAGGCGTTGTCAAAAGAAAGGACATGCATGAAATATCAATTGCTCATATTAGTTGGTGAGAACTAGGAAAATGATTGTGGAGAATAGGTAGCAGGATGTCTTCTGAATATTGACTAGATGTATAACCAAATATTAACAAGCATTATAAGATATAACATATGTAGACCAATTTCCTAAAGCTCAATTAAAGCATAAAAGTTTGGATGTTCACGTTATATTTGTCAAAATATGTATGCTCTGTATGTGATAGCCAGAATGTCCAACAAATTTCCTTTACTTTTACTGGGCTCTTAATTTAATCATTGTTGTGTGAAACTAGGTTAAATTGTTTATAAGAACTTGAAAAAATGATCTATAGTGTAAAAACTCATATATAATTGGGAGAGAAATACACAGTAAATGTTCTGAAAAAATTGGTTAAATGTTTGGGAAAGAAAGAAATTGATTTTAAATGCACTAAAAAGTTAACTGTTGAAAATGAAAACATAAAAACCAGGACTTCCGGTCAAGATGGCGGTGTAGGTAAGCATGGTACTCACCTCCTCCCACAACTAAACTACAGAACAACCATCATTCAGAACCACCTGAAGTAGAGTTGAATGGAAGTCCTACAAGTATGAAATTAAAGAAGCAGCCACATGGAGACTGGTAGGAGGGGTGGAGGGGCAGATGGGCTGGTCCCACACCCACGTGTGGTGGATAAAAATCAGGAGGGACACCTTGGCTGGGATGGTCTTCCCTGAGGACTGAGGGGTCCCCATCCCACAGCAAGATCCCAGCTCAGGGTTCCAGTGCCAGGAAGAGAAGTCCCCATAACTTTCATCTGTAAAAACCAGCTGGAATCGAGGCTGAGGGAGGCTGAGGCTGAGGGAGGCTGAGGCTTCTAGAGTCCCAGGCATTTCCTCTTAAAGGGCCCATGCACGAACTTAGACTTACTGGCTCTGGGCTCCAGCTTTGGGGAGGCAGCTTGAAAGGCACCAGAGACGTAAGGGGGAGAACTGAGTTGTTTGGCATCGGGGCAAGAGCTAGAGAGGCAGCTTTCTCCTGGACAGATGTGCTGGTGGAGGTCTTTATCCCTTTGGTGAGCCTTTCCCTGGGGTGGCAGACAGCTGCCATATCTGGGATTCCAGCAACCTGGCTCACACTGTTTGTCCTGCCCTGGTGATTCCCTGAGGCCCTGCCTCATCCAACTTTCAGTCCCACCCAAGCTGTTTCCAGTGGCTTTATCAAAGGATTGGCCTGTCTTGGCTCATGCTTCAGATTTTTCTAGAATCTCTCAAACAAGGAGCACCTGGCCTCAGTGAGCTCCATACCTCTAGCTAAGTAGCCCCACACCTGGCAATAGAAGCAGCCAGCCTTGGTTAACAGCTTGGTCTTGCCTGGTTGCCTTCAAGCTCAACACAAGAAGCAGCCATCTACAGATAATTTTGTAGCTTATGCCAGGTGGCCCCGGGTAGAACACAGACAGTGGCTGACCTTGGCCTGTGCCTCCAGGGAGGCCCCAGAGCCAATATACCCAGTGAATAGCTTCAGGCCATGTGAAAGTACCACCACCCCAAAACCTCCACAAATGACACACTCAAGGGGTGGGATCAGTGGGTGCCAGAGCCCTGCTGAAGTAAGTCTTGCTCTGTGTGGTGGGCCCCTACACAGCTGATCCTCCAAGGTGGTCAGAGGTCAGTGGTCAGTGGCTACAGCCAGAACTTGCAGCTGATCAACCTGAGTAAATCCCCCACATTGATGTGCCAACAGCAATCAAGACTCAATTACAACTGAAGGGTATATAGTACACACTAGGGCTGCACCTCAAGTGCCCAGCTGGGCTAATCGGGGAGGCTGTGCCACTCGACCCTACAGGATACCTACTGCAGTGGGCCACCCTATTAAGCCTAGGAGACACAGCAAGTTCTCCCTAATATATAGCAACAAACACAGGGAGGCAGCCAAAATGAGGAGACAAAAAACATATCCCAAATGAAAGAACAGAACAAAACTCTAGAAACAGAACTAAACAAAATGGAGATAAGCAATCTAACAGACGCAGAGTTAAAAACACTGGTTATAAGGATGTTCAAGTAACTTAGTGAGGACCTCAGGAGTATAATAAAGGTCCAGTCAGAAATGAAGTGTGCACTAACTAAAATAAAGAATAATTTATAGGGAATCTATAGTAGAGTAAGTGAAGCTGAGAAACAAACCATCAATTTGGAATATAAGGAAACAAAAAACACCCAATCAGAACAGCAAAACAAACAAACAAAAAAATGAGGACAGTGTAAGGATTCTCTGGGAGAACTTCAAGTATACCAACATTTGCATCATGGGGGTGAGAGAGAAGAAAGAGAACAAGAAATTGAAAACCTATTTGAAAAAATAATGACAGAGAATTTTCCTAACTTAGTGAAGGAAACAGACATACAAGTCCAGGAAGCACAGAGAGTCCCAAACAAGATGAACCCAAAGAGGCCCACACCAAGACACACCATAATCAAAATGCAAAAGGTTAAAGACAAAGAGAAAATCTTAAAAGCAGCAAGAGAAAAACAATTAGTTACCTAAGGGGAGCTCCCATATGACTGTCAATTGATTTCTCAAAAAAAAAACAACACACAAAAACTGCAGGCCAGAAGGGAATGGCAAGAAATATTCAGAGTGATGAAAAGCAAGGACCTACAACCAAGATTACTCTCTCCTGCAAAGCTATCATTTAGAATTGGTGGACATAAAGAGCTTCCTAGACAAGAAAAAGCTAAAGGAGTTTATCATCACCAAACCAGTATTATATGAAATGGTGACGGATCTTCTTGAAGAAGATAAAAAATATGAACAATAAAATGGCAATAAATACATATCTGTCAACAACTGAATCTACAAACAAAATGAACAAGCAGAACAGAAACAGACTCATAGATACAGAGAACTTTTTGTTGGTTGCCTGATGGGTGGGGGTTTGGGGGAATGAGCAGAAGTGGTGAAGGGGTTAAGTAGTACAAATTGGTTGTTAGACTGATGAACCTGAGAGGGAAGGAGGGAGGAGGGGCAGGAAGATGTGAACCAAAGAACTTCTATGCATATATACATAACCAGTGGACACAGACGAGAGTGTGGGGAAGACAGAAGGGGGCAGGAGTGGGAAGAAGGGAGTCAATGGGGAGAAAATGGGGACATCTGTCATACTTTCAACAATAAAGATAAAATTAAAAATGAAAGAACTAGAGATTTTGTTGTTGTTGCTGTTTTTAAAAAAACAGAGATAATTAGTTTAACCTCCTACATTTAAAAAACTTCTGTAAGTAAAAAGAAAATCTCTTAAAAAGAAAAACAGGAAAAAGACTGATGAAGAAATATTTGTACATAGAGGAAGAAGTCGTTAGTATCTTGCAACATAAAATGTTCACTAGAAAAAAGAACACTGAACCACAATAGTTAAATTGCCATAAAACATAAATATGAACATGAAAAAACATAAACATGAACATGAATAAACATAAATATCTAAGTGTTAATATTTTATAGACATGAATATTGAATAATATGTACATGGCTATTAAACTATTTAATTTCAGAGTGTAAAACAAAGGACATGACTAAACACACACACACACACACACACAATTTTTTCTTGACCCAATTAGCCAAGACTGAAAAAATGGTCAAAGCAAGAACACAGTAAGGAAGGAGTCTTGTTACATCGTTGGTGACAGTGTAACCACTGTATACTAACAGTATATATTATTAGTAAGTATGGGTATTCCACTCAATGACAGAGTTGTTACTATTTTGTATAGAAGTGCACTTATATGTGTACTTATTGTATATATATATTTATATGTAAAATATGTAGTTAATATTGACATTTATTTATATATATTTTTGTATATATACAGTATGTAGTAAAAATTAACTTATCTAGAGTATTTTAACTTCTATTATTTTAGTTTTTCAACTTTTTTTCTTACTCTACTGAGCTTCTGGATAATTTTCTTAAAGTTCTGCATTTTCTTATTTGGGAGTGCATAAGCAAGTCCACATAGCAATGGGAGAGAAGCAGAAATTAATCTTTTTTTCTTTTGATTTCTAGCTGATTTTCAGTGCCAAGAAGAGGCACAAATGGTCCTAATAGCCATGCTTTCTGAACAACATATTTAATTTCTTTGTACGATTATCAACTGCTTTGAAAAGTTGACATTTCTGGGATTTAAAATTGGTACTATAACTGTGACAAATGAATAAACTTCCCATTTCAGAGATATGTACAACAGAACACAAAAACATAATCTTCGCAGTTCTTCTGAGGATTCTGAACAATTGCCTCTTGTGAATGTGTGTGTGTGTGTGTGTGTGCACCCGCATGTGCATGTGTATGTGTGTGTGTGCGTGTGCGTATGCATGCACATCTGTTTATTTCCCTCAGGAACATACCAGGAGTGGAATTACTAGATCATAGTATATGAATATCTTCAAATGTACTAGATAATGTCAAGTGTTTTCTAAATGGTCTTACCAATTAATATGACTGCCAGCAATATATTTATTTGGGACTTCATTAATGACTTGAAAAGTTTTATAATTTTTCCAGGAAAGTATTGCATGTCTATTGGTAGGTTTATTTCTAGATACTTGAACATTTTCAGTAATATCTCTTTAAGTTTTAGTTTTCTGAATATTTGTTGTTGGTATACAAAGATATAATTGATTTCTTAAATTATTTTTGTATACCGATTTTTGTATCTACTAATCTTGCTAAACTCGGACTCATTCTAATGGTTTATTTATGGGTTCTTCATTTTTCTATGTGTATACTCATATGTAAATAGAAACACTTTAGCATCTTCATATCAGTTCTTATTTTACTGCCCTGGTCAGGAACTTTAGTACAATATTGAGGAGCAGGTCATAGTGGACATTCTTATCTTGTCACTTTTCCTTTTTACATCTCAACCACCACTGAGAAGTTTAGAATTAGAATTTGAAGATTTGAAGTTATTCAACCATTACATAAGAGTGAGTCAGATACCATCAGCCTGACACTGGATTAATGAGACAGGATTTGTTTTGGCCACAGGGGAATGAAAGAAAGAAAAAGGAAGGAAGGGGGAACGAAGGGAGAAAAGAAGGGAAAAGAAGGAAGGAAGGAAGGAAGGAAGGAAGGAAGGAAGGAAGGAAGGAAGGAAGGAGGGAAGGAGGAGGAGGAGGGAGGGAGGGAGGGAGGGAGGGAGGGAGGGAGAGGGAGGAATTAGCAACTAACAGTGACTTAGAACATATTAATTGTTTGCGTAATTAGTACAGAGGTTTGGAGTTCAGTTACATACACACAAGAAGATGCGTCTGCTCTTAAAGTAGGGTATGTGTGAGACTATTGATATTTTGGAAGTTTCTTTCCCTAAGTAACCCCCAACCAAACTGTTGGCCTACAGGAAATAAGTGACTAAAAAGAACTTTAAAGTAATTCTGTCTCTATTCTATACTGCATGCCAGTTAGTCAAAGGAGCATCGCCTCTCAGACTGCCTGGAAACACCACCTCAGTCCTGCGTGCTGTGTCATGTGCACTCTCTTTGTGAGAAGTGGAAAAGAACCAAAGACATACTTTCTTTCCCAGTTCCTGCTCATCTGAAAGATTAGGAGTCATCAGAAACAGTGACAGTCATGACCTAACCTAAATCAAGATATAATGTGCTAAGACTATAATCCTTGATTTATATAATCAAGAGCTACTGAAGTGTTCTTATCTCTTATATTTTTTTATTGGTTTTTTTTTAGATAGAAGGGGAGAGAGATAGAAACATCGATAAGAGAGAAGCATTGATGGGCTGCCTCCGGCACACCCCACGTTGGGGATCGAGCCTGCAGCCTGGGCATGTGCCCTGACTGGGAATTGAACCAGTGCATGGAACAATGCTTAATCCACTGAGCCAAACCGGTTGGGCTCTTATTTTTATTTTTAACTTCAGCTAAAGCCATTTTAACTTTTTGTTTTTGTCCATCTCAATGTAGCCACTGACTTAAATAGTTTTTAGTCAACATTCATCTAAATTTATCACGATCCAGTAATCTCAGTATTGTCTTTTTTTTTGGAAAGTTTTGAAATTAGTCATCACCATAATCCCTCTGCTTAGCCACAGAATTCTGCAATCTCTGTAATTAAGGAGTGGCTTTATGAGCTTTGTTTAGAAGCAAAAACTAGATTCCTAACCTGTTAGAAATCAAATCAAATTTCTGGGATTTTAAATAAGTTTTGGGAAATAAGGCAAGGGTTTATATCTGCTCAGAACCCTAGAGCAGTCCTTACAGTGGAGATAACTGTGTCATTTCTGAAGGGAGCAAAATTTTATGTTTATTTTTCCTTAACCAGCTTACATTTGTACTTTGGGATTGAAATTGGAATAATTTTTTTTTCCTGGAAATAGATGCCTATTAGCTTACATAACCCAGACTGAATAAATACACAGTTATTTAGCATAAATCCAATATTTCCTAACTTCTTACCCATAGGGTGAGAGCAGACATCTTTAGAGTTGCAGTTGGGACACCGGCACCCTCAGAATGGACGGGAAACAGCGGCAGCACACCGTGGATTCTGAACTCAATGCAGCTGAACTGGTGAGGATTGTAAATGCCTTTAATCCTTTCATGTCGAATATTCTTGCTTTTGGCCTTTAACATTTAATCCTTCAAGAAAATGAAGTTGCATTTTTTTTTAATGTTCTCTCTACAGGATGAACAGAATCTGAGATTTTTATTATCAGTAATCACAAGTGTTGAGGGAGTTATTTAGTATGCCAAAGTGCTCTCCTGTTGTTTGGGAGTTTTGCCTTAGACTTTTGGTCTAAATTTTCATATGCATATCAGAAACCTACAATAAGAGACTGTAGAAAAAAATCTGAGTAGATGGTTTGAAATGTGTATTCAGAGCAAATACTAACAATATTATTTATATTTCTGCATATTCTGAGCCAATGAAAATATTTATTCTCATTGGCCTACTTGTATTTAAAGTGGTCATTTATGAAAAATTTCTTTGGCCGAAGAACTTATGCTTAGAATGTGATATCTAGTAATGTAAAAATTCTATTTCTAAGAACGTATAAAGGGCCTCATTCACCATTCAAACAAATCCCTTCATTTTTACAAATGAGGAAACTGAAACATTAGAAGTCCAGCCAGCCAGTGGCAGAACCAGAAATTGAGCTCAAGTTTCTCAGATATAATTTTTTCATTGTAAGGAACTGCTTTTCAAAAACTTTGACTATTATGTTCCTAACAAAGAAAAATAAATTTTATAATTGACTTGAGGTTGTAGAACCAAGCGACAAGTCAAACAAAATAAATACAAATATAGGATTTGATCAGAATTGCTTTACAACTTGAGGGTTGTATTTGGGGATTCATTAACTATACTACCTACCATAACATTAATTTATAGCATGCCTCATGTCAAGGAAGCTGAAAATGTCATTGCTTTAATATCTTCTATACATCATTTTATTTCTGTCTCCTTTTCATAATATATTAAATGTGAGTTATGGTTATGTTCCCATGTGCCGAAAACATTTATGCGATTTATTTCATTAAGTCATATAGTTAATTATGCTAAAAAAACAAAACAGTAAAATCAAGTTCTGAAACTATGAAAAGGAATAGTTAGAATTTTCCACTTTTTATTAATCTGATGACAATCTCTTAGATCCCCTCAAACAACAGATAGAAGATTTTTTTTTTAACAATTATTCTATGACTTTATTTTAGAACATTTGGAAAATGTGGAAAATTACAAAAATAGTCACCCATAATCCACCCCAGAGAAAATCACTGCTAATATTTTGTTTTCTGTCTCCTCTCACCCCAATCTAATGTAATTTTATTGTTTTGATTGATTTATTTTGCCACATGAAATTTTTGTCAATTTACTTATTTTTTTTCTCTAAAAATTTCCATAAAGCTCTTAATTAAAATTCAGAGAATTGAGAACTTATGTTACCAAAACCCTTTATAAGAGGACATTTATTTAAGCTGTCTTTTTGTTCCTCGGTAAAATTTCATGTTGTTCTTTATATAAATTCTATGGCATTTTATGTACTTAGCCATTTCATATATTTTATTACTTCTGCAGTGGCTAAGACACACATATATACATAAAACAAGAGCTGTGACATATATTTCTACACTTTTATAATCAGCTAATTTAGTGAATTCTTATTATTTATAATAGATTACATGAGATTCTGTTTGTACACAATCATATCATGTGCAAATAATGTGAGTTTTATCTTCACATTTTTATTTTTGCTACCTGTTGATGAGAACATCTAAATAAACAAAATAGATGAACAAGCAGAACAGAAACAGACTCACAGATACAGAGAACATTTTGAAGCTTGCCAGATGGGAGGGGGGTTGGAGGGATGGGTGAAAAGGTGAAGGAATTAAGAAGTACCTGTTGATAGTTATAGAATAAGGATGTAAAGTACAGCATAGGGATATAGTCAATAATATCTTGATAACTATGTATGGTGTCAGATGGGTGCATAATTTATCAGGATGAGTATTTAGTAAGTTATATAATGTCTAATCACTGTGGTGTACACCTGAAATTAATATAATATTGTACATGAACTGTAACTGGAAAATAAAAAATGATTTTAAGAAAATGACCTAATTTTGGTGGTAGGAGACATTTCTGACTTTAAAGGAAGGTTCCCGTGGCTTCACTGTTAAATATGATGTCGGTCATTGGCTGGAAGTCAATATTCCTTGTCACAATTGGGAATTATTCTTCTATTTTTCTTTCTTTGAGATTTGTATGGTTTCTCTGCTTGTGCCAGGATCAAATACTGAAATTTGTAAAATGACCCTTGGCCATCAACTGAAATGATCATTTTTCTTCTTTGATCATTTGATGTGAACAATGTATTTTTATCATTTAGATCATTAAACCATTTTTAGAGTTTCAGATTCTAGAATTGGTTAGTTCTTCATTTAATACATGTTAGAGACACATAATGTTTAATATATTTTGTATGTCTATGTTTCTGTATCAAATAACCTTTCTTTATCCTTAAAAACTGGGCTGTTTGTTTGTTTTAAATCCTTTCTCTGCAGTTACCCAGAAATCCATACTGCTCCAATTGCAGATCGCACTGCGATTGTGGGTCGTCTCCCGTGACCTTCCAGCCACACTGGGTAAGGTTGGAAAGTGGGGGGAGGTGGGAGCCCCTCAGTAGACCTTTGGCACAATGGAAAGATGGAAAAATGGGACAAGCAGGCCCTGCCTCGTCGCCCCTCTGCAGGGCGCTGCTCCCCTTTAACCCTTCACTTACCACTCACCCTTTGGCTCTTCTGCTCTTCTTCCGAGTCGCCACGCCACAATCTCTGGGCAAAACCTAGAATCCGCAGCCCCCAGCCATTGATCTCTGCTGTAGCCTGTGCCTTTAAGATCCCCTGCATACCAGAGATTTCCTGTTCTGATGCCTTCCCAAGCTCAGTGAAAGTCCTTTCATTTATGTTTAATAGATCAAAAATGCATTTAATACATAATTTTCTAATTGTGAACTCTCAATACATGATGTAAAAACAGGAAATAATGATGAAATAAAAGAATACTTGCAATTTTTCATCACTCAAAGATAACCAGTCTAAATGTTTTGATATGCCTGTTCATTATTTTTCTACCCATGAGGACTAATTAGATAATTTAGTTTATACTGCGATGTTAGTAGCTGATAAGAGCTTCAGGTCATACATCTCTGAGGCAATCTTCTTGCATTTGAGGTGACACCACATTGCTTTAGTGTGAAAAAGTAACTGAGAGGGGACATTTTGTTCTCATGGACTTGTGGACAAGGGGTGTGTGTATATGTGTGTGTATATATGGGTGTTTGTGTGCCTGCTTGAAAGACACACACACACACAGACAGAGAGAGACTGGGGGTTGATATATTGTGCTTTAAATTACAGCATTTGGAGTAATGGAAACGGTTAGCCTTATTCTAATTGCAATCATTTATCTAAGATACCACTATGTAGTTTGCTGAAATATGCACTTACTATAATCCTATGCAGGTTACAGCAAAACCATGGTCACTCTGGAAAACATTTCTGGTGTGTCTATTGGCCTGTCTAATTGCTACGACCCTCGTTGTTCTGGTCTTATATTTTGTTCATTTCGGCAAGCCCACCATCGGTCCGACCATCATCATTCATGCAGATGGAAAGTTCAGTCACGTGACCTGCATCCCTGGTTCTACCCCATCTCCTGCCCCATCGACCCTGCCTGGATCTCAGAGCACCCTGCCTCCTACCGCTGTGGTCAGCCAAAGATCTCCCACCACAGTGCCTCCACCTACCATGCAGCCAACTAAAACCGAAGAGGAACATGAAGTCGTCATTGAATACGCATAACAACAGTTTTGAGCCCTGAGCCCTCCTCAAGCCAGGTCGACACTCTTACTCTGAAGGAGACATGTCTAGGCTGTTCTGTCCTCCCTGCCAAGAGATTCCACAGCATTTGACTTCATGAGGTCTTGCCCATCTTGCTCAGTCATTTGCTGGAATCCCATGCGGTGATGATTCAGTTTTGGGACCGTCAATGTTCAAATGATTGGAAAAAACATTTCAGCTGAGCCTGGTTGACGAATCTAGGCGGGGACCCAGAGTTTTCTCTTCACCCCTTCAGTACCACCAACCTCATTTCTCACCCACGGAGATCCAGCTGCTGAAGAGGCTGCCGGGTGGACCTGCTCTGCTTTGCTCCCCGCATGCTGGTCCTTAAGCCAGTGTTTGTCATCTGTTATTGGTTATGTCCCGGTCTAGCTTCAGCATCTGTATCCTAGTAGGGAAAGAGAGAAATGTTCCAGCAAAGTGCTTAATGAGCATGGCTTATTAAATATCTATTGATCATTACAGAAGTGTTCCTTCTTTTGGGGGATTCAGTAAAGAGGGGAATTCAGTGAGCACAGGAATAATCAAGGAAGATTTCAGAGAAGGGCTGAAAGTTGAAAAAGGGTAAAAGTTTGCCTTTAAGTAGAGATCATTGGGACAGAAAATGAGAAGGTGAAGGGGGTTTAATAGATTTAAAGTCAAAGGCTCACTTAGAAACACTTTAAATGTAACAGTGATGTACTTTCTATATCTGTACTTTTTTCACTGATATTGTCAATATTATTTTCCATATTTAATAATCTGCTTAATCTCTAAACCACTATAAACTACTACTTATAAAATTTGGATGTTTAAACTGTTTTGTACTTTGTACTATAACTTTGAGGGCACATGGCTTATAATTTGATATGAAACACAGACTCTTGTTCATTAGGACTTGTATTCTAAGTGCTTGATACTTAGTAAAAGAATAAACATTTCAGTCTGGAATAGACCAAAGTGAAGCAGCCTTCCCACCCCACCCTCATCCTCCGGACTCCACAAAAGAGACTGTGTACTTATTTCTTCCCCAGCACAGTATTAAATCAATTCATTTCTACTGTCCTTTCAATTTAAAAAATCATGAAGAAGAAAGATTAAATTCAGTAGGTTAAAATGTGCTTCTATGGGTGATTTAAACTTTGCTTTGTGATTTAAAAGTAAGACCTTTTAATAAAAAGACAAATAAATGTACCGCTAATTTGTTTAAGTGTTGTAGAAGCCATCCTAAGTAACCAGATGTTTAGTAGGAACTGCTGTTTTCTTCCTTTACTGTTAGATAACACAGAACGCAGTGTGGTAATATGGGAAGGGTAATTTTTGTGTGTGTTTAAGGAGAACCTTCTCTTAGCAATGAAATTCCTACATTGAATATTCGGTTGGAGGATATTGTAACTAAGGGTATGTGAGATCATCAAGGTTCTGTACTTTGTAAAATAGAGATGTAGATGAGCTCACAGATTCTTTTTTGCTTTAGACTTTTATGGTTTAATAAAATATTAAAATACTAAACAGTTGTGGGAAATATTTTCACAAGTTAAAATATATAACGAACAGAAACTTTACAAAGTACTATGAAAATACTAAGTGAAGGGTGCATATTCAATAGGCACCAGGTTTTAATGATCGATTTAGCAAATAAAGAGAAGAAAGGCAGCTTCATTTTGCTTGAATCACCCCATTTCCCAAGTAGGCATGGTTTAGCACCAAAAGGGAATGTCCCAACTAGAAAAAGTTCCCCTTGCCAGGAAACGATGAGCAGGGTGAGCCACCAACTCCCCCAGCCCTGCAGGGCATCACACGAAGATCCAGCTTAGACCTTGCCTCACCCAGACTGGCAAGGCTGAGGCATGTAGAGATGGCTAAGAATAGTGACTAAAAGCAGTGACTACCAACAGCAGCCTTGCAGCCAGAGTCACCACGGTTTGTAGTGACCTGTTCCACAGATACATCCAGTAGTTTTTGCCATTGAAGAAGGAACCAATGGCCAGCACAACTGCAGAGGACCATTTACAGATTTCACCAGCTTTTGCTCCCCAAGTATTCATGTTTGCTGACACCAGCTCCCTCCCTCCCATCCCTGCCCCCGCTGGAGCCTGGTAACTGCACCAGCAGCCAGCCCGTGCCACTGTGGCTCTGGGTGTGCAAGATAGACCCTCACCGCTGATGCTCCCACAGTGTGCATGCACGAGGGGATAGCTGCTCCAGCTGTGCACTTGCCAGCCTGGTACCTGTCAGCACCCCCTGCTGCGGTGTCCACAGCTGGGGGAGTCTGTGTAGCACAGTGACAGCCAAGGCCCCACAGCTGCTTATAGGCTCAAATCAGGCCCTGTCTTCTGTCACTGGCCTGCAGTACTGTGCTTTCCTTTAGCCAGCCACTCCAGCTGTTTACTGCACAACCCCTGTCACTAGCCTGCATTGCTGTGCACTTGTAGTGACATACAGCAGCCTGAGTACCATACACAGCCAATCAGGACCCCTGCAGCTACCTGCCTGCCTGCACTTAGCTGCAGCCCTGGCCTCCTTCCCTGGCCTCCACTGCTGTGGAGCAAAGGGCTCCTGCCACGACAGGCAACTGAGGCTGGTCCTGCAGCCAAGTGCGTATATGCCACTCTCATTGGCCACCACTGCTGCATGCCATGGACCCTAGTCACTGGACCTGGAGGTGCTGCCGAAGACCCCAGTAACCCTTGAAGCCACAGCAGACTCCTCGCTGTGCTTGCCAAGGGCCACATTGTGGCCAGTGTTGTGGACTCAACTGGCGTGAGCCAAAGAGACAGCATGTCCTCCTGGACCCATTGCTACCATACATTCCCACATATGACAGCAGGTTGGTTCCCAGTGTGCCGCGATTCCCTCACCCATGTATGAGTACTCCCATACCGAAGTCAGGTCATAAAGTCTGGAGAGTGCTCCTTCTTCAAATGCGCAAACACCTATGCAAGGCCACAGAAGTTGTGGAGAATCAGAGAAACACAAATCTTCCAAAAGAACACAGTGAACTTTCAGTGGCTGGCCTGAAAGCCATGGATTTCCAGGAATTATCCCCCCAAAATTCCAACTAAATGTTCTGATGAGTCTCAGAGAGCTACCAGTGAACACAGATGGACAATTTAACAATGTCAGGAAAACAATACAAGAACAAAATGAGAAGTTCAACAAAGTGACAGAAAATGTAAGTAAGAGCCAGATGGAAATTTTGGAGCTGAAGGATTCAATGATTGAACTATAGGATTCAGTAGAGAGCTTCAACAATAGACAGGACCAAGCAGAAACAAGAATTGGGAACCTTGAAGACAGATTAATTGACATTATTCAATCAGAGGCAAAACAACAACAACAACAACAGCAACATGAAAAAGAGTGAAAAAAATCTATGCGATCTATGGGATACATCAAAAACAATCAGTTTAAAAACTATCAGAGTTCTAGAAAGAGAAGAGAGGAAAAAGGAGACAGAAAATTTATTTAAAGATATAATGGCTGATAGAGAAAGACAAGTATCATATGGTCTTACTTATATGTAGAATCTAATGCACAAAATAAACTGATGAACAAAATAGATCTAGAGACATGGAAGCATGGAAGAGACTGATAAACCTCAGAGGGAAAGGGAGGGAGTGTGGGGAAGAGATTAAACCAAAGAACTTATATGCATATAGGCATAATCCATGGACACAAACAATAGTGTGTGAAGTCCTGTGCGGGTAGTGGGAGTGGGGTAGAGAGGTGTCAGTGTGGGGAAAAGGGGGGACATCTGTAATACTCTCAACAATAAAAATATATTAAAATAAACAAAAATAATGGCTGAGAACTTCCCAAATCTGGGAAGATATTTGGACATCAAAGTTCATGAAACTCATATGTCACTAAAGAAACTCAAATAAAAAAAGATCCTCTCTGTGACACATGGTTATTAAACCATCAAAGGCAACCCATCTCAAGCTTATCATTTTAGCGTGAAGAACTCTCAGCACTCGGGTAGGCAGGTCTAGTGGCAGTGGGTGCACCTGGCTTTTGTTCCTCTGGGAAAGTCTTTATCTCTCCTTTTACTAGGCCGGAACTGTGCTGACAGCAAAGCCAGATAAGGAAACTATAAGAAAACACAACCTTGGCAAATACCCCTAATTGATATAAATGCAAAAATTCTCAACAAAATATCAGCGAACTGAATTCAACAGCACATTAAAAGGAGCATACACCATGATCAAACTAAAAAGCTTCTGTGCAGCAAAGGAAACCAACACCAACATGAAGAGGCAATCTACAGAATGGAAGAAAATATTTGAAATTCATATATCTGATAAGGGCTTCATATCCAAAATATATATATAAAAAACACAACTCATCAGGAAAAAAACAAATAGTCTGATTAAAACATGGGCAGAAGAACTGAATTGACTTTTTTTTTTTCCAAAAAAGATACATGAATGGCCAGCAGGTACATGAAAGGCACTCAGCATCAGGGAAATACAAATCAAAACCACAATGAAAGATCGCCTCATACTTGTTAGAATGGCTGTTTTCAAAAGGACAAATAACAAGTGTTGGTGAAGGTGTGAAAAGGAAATCCTTGTGTACTGTTGGCGGGGATGTAAATTGGTGCAACCATTATGGAAAACAGTATATAGGAGCCTCAGGAAATTAAAAATATGACACAGCAATAACTCTGGGTATATATCGGAAGGAAATGATAACAGAATTTGCAAGAGATATCTGCACTCCCATGTTCATTGCAGTATTACTCACAATAGCCAAGATGTGGAAACAGCCTAAGAGTCTGTTATAGGATGAAGGACTAAAAGAGAGGTTACACACACACACACACACACAGTAGCAAAAGTAGGTTTACAGTTGTTTGTATGAAAAATAATACAATTATTAATAAATAATAATACATAAATAAACTCTGTGTTTTGAGTACTCACAACTGTAAACCTACACACACACACACACGCTCAGAAAATGTACACACAATTTGAATGATTATAAAGTCAGTGTTTATTAACATACAGTTCATTTTCAAAATTTAAAAGAATCTACAGAAATGAATAGTTTCTTTTTGTCAGCACCTGTTATCAAACGATGAGCTTCTTCTGGTCCAGGCACTGTTGATAACAAGAAGCAATGGACTCATCAGGAATCATTTCATTCGGGAGCTGTGTGCATTCTCTTTCAATAGCTGCCCTCAATTCGTCGACTGTTGCCAGTTTTGTACGGTAAACTTTATCTTTTATGTGTCCCCATAGAAAGTCTAGTGGATACATTGTCTTTGTTCAAAGCTTAGTCTGGCTTCACCCATTATTTCAAATCAGTTAAACCTGAAAAGAAGTGAGAATTAAGTGAGTTCTCAGCTGTTAAAATGTGTATACACTTTGGGGGGACACCTTACATTTCTCTCTCTATATATAAGTGACAGATGTTACTAAAGATCAGTGGAAGTTGTAGAAGTTATAGAAGAAGAATATACAGATGTTTCTCTCACACACATTAAGGAAATGAAGGTAGTTGGTCCAGGGGTAGAAAGAGTAGTTTCCTCGAGCCCTTGACCTCATTGCTCCGCACACCCAGCATTTGGTTCCTATCTGACGGCTCAGAAAGTCTGTGTGCACCCCAGTCCTGTGGTCTGCATTCCCGCCAGCAGGAAGGAAGAGAGGGCGATCCTTCCTTCCCTCTAAGAATATTTCTCAGAAGTTGCATGTAACATATCCTATCGCCAGAGATTAGTTATACAGCCACACTAGCTGTAAGAAAGGCTGGGGAATGTTAGGGTTATTCTGGATGTTTGTGTGACCAGCGAACACGGAAGGGTCTGTTTGGGTTATAAGGAAAACAGAGAGAGTGGATATTCTGAAACAGCGCAGTGTCTCTGTCACAACAATTAAATCCAACATTTTTTAGAGGAAGAAATAAGCATTTTATTTCAAATTCTTAGTCCTTCTGTGAACCCCAGGTACTCTTATATAAACATTCTGATGGTTGTAAAATTCTAACACTGTCTAATAGTCATGAGTGGGGTATGGTCAATCACAGGGTGCAGGGGAGCTGACCTCAGGTGCCAACCGCCCCAGCCGAGGATTCCGGTCTCTAGGAGTTGCCTGGCAGAGGTGAGCATCAGAGCCCCTCCCAGGAAGAGGGAGAGCATGCCTTATACTTTTGTGCATTCCCCACAGAACCCAGCCTTGTTCCTGGAACGGGAAAACTTACGAAGCAAGCTATTAAGGCCTTGACTACATCAAGCGGGAAGGGACCATGGAGATTATCTAATTAAAACTCTTCGCTTTTGAGATGAAGATCCCGTCGCTAGAATAAAGTGCTGAGTGCTGGCACCGTGCTAAGGACTCTGACCCTGCTATCTTTCCAGACAGTGCATTAGTGGTAACGCTGAAATGACATGACTCAGATCTCAGGCTCTGCACGAACACGAAACCTTTCCACGTCACGTTTTCTGACTTCTTTTTTGACGGTCTTGC